CTTCCTTTCATTTTTCTACCTTCACTGCTTTATATAGTTCATTGCTTTATTTGAAATAATCTTTGATTGAGTTGTTATCACCTTCTCCTTTGAAGCTCATGTTATGACCACTAGCATCTAGTATGTAATAGAGATTCAGCAACTGCTGGGAAATTGATTAATCAAAGGACTTTGAACATCTAAACATGGATGTTGATGAAGATATAGATAGTCAAAACAAATTGCCCTCCAAATTTGGGGTAATTAGTACTACTATGTGCAAATAACAGTATTGTGCCTTATCATAGCATATTTTAGAAAACTAAAATATAAAATATATTAAGCTAGGACAGAAGTTATAGAGCTACTCAAAAATGTTGAGCAACTAGCTGAACACCCTAAAGTCATTAACACTAAAGTTACTCTTACAAAACTATCTTAATCTCATGCAAACATAAAAATGCTATACAGGAAAAAAAAAAGCTAAGGAAAAAAAAAAGATTTGCTTCTCAAATAGACCTCTCTGAAAATAGTTAGCTATATATAAGCAGCTATGAATTCTATGCATTATTTCCACATTTAAAATAAGGATTTCTTAAGAAAAGGGATAAGAATTGAACATCTATTTGAATGGTTAGAGTCTTATACTGGGTATTTTTAATTCACTGTATCTAAGATCACAACACTGGAGGGATGTACTCACATAAATCACTAGAATTCCTTTTTAATTCTTACTCTTATAAGCTGAAAGATGACATTTTTGCAAAACATGACACATTAGTAAATAACATTTAATTAATTTGATAATTCTTTGATTAAGCTTTAATTTTTCTTGATTCTCATGCAGCAATTCAAATTATTCTGTATTATTTGTTCTTTTTCACACGTTTAGGGCAGGCTTTGAATAGTCCCAGTAGGTTACCTGAGAAGGAATTTATTCTTGTCTGACAGCAGGTCTATGCCATTAATAGTGACAAGGCTAGACCAAAAAGACACTTTAATAAATGTTCCCTCACAGAAAAGACGTTTCTGTAGAAACTGGTGCCTCTCTCAGAAGTCTAGGAGAAAAAATTCTGAGCAAGTGAGAAAAATGAAACCTTAGGCCTTCTTTCTGTTTCCTTTAGACATAGAGAAAATGAAGCCATATGAACAATGTATTAAAAGAAGAGAATACTTATTTACTAGCTTTTGCCCCAAACCTAAAAGTGTTTTATCCTAAGGAAGCTAAAAGTGTGGGAGAAGAAGCATCAATGGAATTGAATCTGCTTGGAAGTACTTGCATCTATTTCTATATGCATCCCAGCTAATCAGAGTGACTAGAATGTTTCATGGATTGATTCAGACAAGCATGACAATTTGATACATTTACCTCAAACAGTTTCCACAGCTTTCCAGTAATCAGAAGGTAACTCTCCCCAGGGTTATGGCAAGTCCAGGGACTAGGCACTCCCATCATTAAACATAGACTTTCATTTTTTTTTCTGTTTAGCCTAATTATGTATACTGTCTGCAGTTTACTGATGCTTGCATCAAGCTCAGCTTTGCTAATTCCAAGCTTCTGTCTCCCGAGATACTATCAGTAACTCTTTAAGAAATCTTTACAGAGGCCTATTTGCAATACTTAGAAACCTGTCATCTTTTAAAATAACAAGATTATTTCTACGAATGAATAAAGAGGTCTACTCTGGGATAAACACCATTTTTTTCATTGAGATAAATATTGTACATCACGAATTCATCTCAACACACATACCATGTTTCTGGCAAGGTATAAAAGTATAAGGCAGTGGGGATTTAAAGGCAAATGTTTGTTGATGGTGTATATAAGGCAGTAAAAACAAACAAACAAACAAAAATTTGCTCTGCAGGGAATCATAATAATGTTTGATAATTGAATCAGAAACTTAAAAAAGTAGTGGGTAGAGAAACACCAATTTTGCTATATGTGGGAATCATCATCCCCAATGAGACACTTAAATAGTGTTTGTTATGATTATGATAGCTCAATGTGTTCCAAGTGTATATGCATGTGCATAAGTTTAACCATGTCTTATTTCTATAAAGTAATGTCTATTATTCCATTTTATAGATGAGGGAACAGGCTCAGGAAAGTTGAGTAACGTGCCTATATTTATTTAATTTTTTTCTTAAATAGTTAACTCATTTTATGGCAAGAGTCATTCTACTTAATTCTTTCCTCTCCTACCTTACGGCTCCAACAATTTTTCATTTGCTTTTCAGAAGTCTTTCTGAAATTCATTCTGTAAATGTTGTGTCACCCATTTTTGTTATTACATGGCTAAATCAGAGATTCTGGGCTTTAGTTTACTATAGATTAAGAAGAAAGTCCATGTTCCAGACTTCAGCAAATTCTGAGAAATAGGTCAAAATTTCCATTACTGAATTCAAAGGGAATTCCATCAAATACATAAAGTGACCTAAATTGCAATAAATGAAATGGGTACAAGAATGTTTTCTGAAAGATTTCACTTTTAGATAAATGTTGTATATCTGTCTAAACTTCTAGTATCTTGGGTTCTCTTGGTACTATAATTTCTCTTTTTTACCATTGTTAAGGGATATTATTCACAATAGATTCATTGGAAATTTTCTCACAAATTGGAGAACTAGAACATTTCCTACATGAAAATTGCAAATCTGAATAGCATTACATTGTGTGTGTGTATATATATACACACACATATATATCACACTCTTAAAACTCCATTCATCTATTGATGTACAGAACTACAGATATACAGGAGAATTATGTTGCTGCTGTTCTATTGCAATGGTAAAGAAATTTATATTTAAAAAAATCTAGAAGAAAATATTTTAATATTTTCACCATAAAAAAGACAAATATCTGAAGACAGAATGAAAAGCCTGATTTGAACATTTCATAATATATACATGTATTGAAGTATCATAGCACCCCACAAATAAGTACAATTTTATATGTTAATTGAAATATATATGCATAAAAATAAAATACATTTTGCAATAGTAGGCATGAAATTCATCTTGCATGTATTGCCATTTAGCTAATCATTTTGATTTAACTATGTTAAGACATGTTTTTATTGTAACCCCCCTGTCCCTTAACTACAAAGAGTTTATATTGTTAACGTTACTTGAGGCCCTCAGTATATTATTCTGTATCACAGATTCACACTTCCAGCTTATGTAAACCTAACAATACATTTTATTATTATAATCTTTCATAGGACCAATTACATAGGCATATTAAATACAGACGCATAACTACAACTGTAGGTATTAATCATATTCTATTCCTTCTCTTTTAATAATAATAACAACAATAACTATTTTTTTTTCTGACTGTACACTGTTGACTATAGATAAGCTCTGCTTAAATTTGGTCTGGGCTTCATGAGGGTAAGCACCAGGCATATTTTGTTTACTGCTACATCCTCAAAATCTATCATAGTTCCTAGAACCTAGAGAACACTGAACCAAACTTGTTTTATGTGTGTACTACAGAATATCTTAACACAATCTTCAATATAACACTATAAAATATTTAATAAGATTATCCATATGATATAGACAGTAGAAGCAAGGCAAACAGATGTGCAATGGCTAATATAGAGGAAAATGTTTGTTTTATCTTTATCAAAACTCTTCTGTTACAATAGAGATAGGGCACAGCTATGTATTCACCCATGAAGAGGAGCCAATACAGAGAGGGCCACACACTTCAAATGTACTTTGATTATCTACTCTTTGACTCCACAACCCTACCACTACCAGCCTAATGGTACAAAGGAGGAAGGGACTCAATGAGGTTGACCAACATGACAAAGTCACATTCCACCAAGTAGCATGGACTAGGTTTGAGTCCATGCAGTTTTTCTTTGGAGTTTGTTCTGACTCCTATATATTTTCTGCATTAGAGGAGTGTCTCTGAAGAATAAAAATGAACTAAAAATCAAATAACATCAAAAGTCATCTAATGAAGGAAAATAAAATGTTAACCTCATTTAGGTTATGAACACATACAATTCTAGCTCTTACTGTGCTGCTTTGGGAGGTGAGTCCTGCCTAAGTCATTGTTGATTTTCATTTAGTTGAGACCTCAATGACATTTCACAACTTACTTGAATCTCAATTTGGAGATAGTTTGTAGCATTGGGGGTTGAAACATCCATTTCATAAGTCACCTAATCACAGTTCCCATGACCACTCCAGGAATAATGACTTTCTCAAATTTGTCCTTCATTTCTTAAAAATTATGTTTACATATGCCAAAATTAGCAATATTCCACAAATTTTCTCTCATCATCAGTCCCTTAAGTAGAGTTCTGCCTGATCATATATTATGAAATTATGCTTTCTTATTATCCTTCTTGTACTTAAATCCGTCAATGACTTTGCCAAATATCAATTCTATTGGGCTGACCAAGTGTCCTATAATGTGACATTAAAAGCATTTCGTTTCTTATTTCCTGATGCTTTTCAATCTTAGTTCATCCTGTCTTATAAATACATCAATTTCACATGCACTGCCATGTTCCAATTCATTTCCTCTTTCATATACAAATAAAGCAAGCTCTATGTATTCCTTAGCACTTAGTCAAATACCATTCCTCCTTCTGACTCTGTGGATCCCCTTTCCTTAATAGCAGGAATCACTGATGTCTCTCATCTGAAACTTGTAACATTTATAGTTTGTACTATGCAACCTATTCCCCAAATTTATCTTTTTCTTTTATCTATTAGTTATTTTTCTCTTTCTAATATACTTGTTAAAGTTGGAAATTATATTTTAATATTTGTATATCCTTTAGTGTGCTTGGCTTAGACTGCTAAACATGTAGAAATTATTCAAAATTTGTACTCTGACTTATTTTAGTTCCTCTCTGGATACTCTACATCTCTTTCTATATCCTCTTCCCAAAACACCACACTTGATTAACTAACTGCTTACTACATAGTTTTATTTGAGAATTAATGAAGTAAATCCTGTGAAAATAACTATAATGACCCTTGTTATTTAGCAGGTGCTAAACAACTGATGTTTGGATGGGAATCTTCACATGTTCACCTTTTGCAACTGGGTACCATATGTGGCTTTCAGGATGGATGGTAAGTTCAAAGTTGCCTTCTTCAGCCCTGTTTACTTCAGTAAGCTGGGACCCCAGTCCTCCCAAGACCACCTACTTAGACAATTCATTAGCTTTATCATTCCAAAGAACTCTGAATAATTTGACATTCCCCTTCTTTGGTATAAATCCCATGATTCTACGTGCATTACAATTCCAAAATCATGTTAATTTTCTCTATCTACTGTTCTAAAATCAAGCTTTGTCTCACTCCTTAGGACTCTTTCTAATTCTATTCTCTTCTAATCATCTTGTGCAATTCCAATTTTGTTTCTCTTTTTAGATTCCTTGAGTACCAAGTAAAGGGAACTAGCAGATCCTCATCTATATCTGGAAAACAGATAGATTTGGTATTAATCCTAAGGATTTACAAACTCATAAGCCTCAGTTTGAATTATCTGTCTGCAACTTTGTGAGACCTTTACAAATAACATAAACTGGTTGTCTTGCAATTCTTTCCTTTATAAGAAAAGGATTATAATATACACTTACTAAGTCTTTATTAGGAAAATACAAAATATTTCAAGAGTCTAGCAGAGATAATGACAAAAGAACAATTCAAGATTTCATGATTCTGAGCCTTAAATATCCCTTTAGTCTTGATGTCTGTATCCTCAATTCCATATAGCCAGACTTAACAAATGTCTCAAGCCCATTTCAATTTTTATATATTCCATAGATCTAAGAAATAAATTTTAATAAATGACTCAAGATACAAATTTGGTAAAGTTGAGGTTTCAAAAAACAAACAGGCAAATGATTAATATCCAGCCTGAGTGACACACCAAATTTATATTTTCTCCATTGTTTCTTAGTGTGCTATTGAGGTCCATTATAGTAATATGAGGGTTTTGTTTAGTTTTTAATTTATTAGCTATCCTAAGAAGTTTGTAAAGAAAAATATTGATTGACTTATTAATATATAGAAATTTTAAGTAACAAAAAGAAAATTTAATTTTAAATAGAATAAAAATGTTTTCTCCATTGCAATTACTATGTAGCAACATTGAACAATTTTAAAAATTGAAGGCACACTTTGCAATCTTCACAATCATATTTTTCTTACATATTGAACATTTTTCATTTCATTAACTTAGAAATTATCTTGTCAATTATTTTAAACAATACATTTTTTAAATTTAGTTGTGGTGTTAAGTCTATTTAATAATAATTATTAACATATTTCCATATTATCTTCTTTGTGTGACATATTTAAATCTGTGTTATGTTATCTGAAAAGCAGTGGAGTTTTATACTCCTTGTTAAAGATTCCTGTAGAAAATTCTCTGCTGAACCTAAACCTCAAGTCCTTTTTTCTCCTCTGAGGTAAACTCAGAAACTAGAAGTTTCCTTTTTAATTGGCTCTTTGGCTCTCTCACCTGACTGTGTTTAGTAGTTTGTATCATTATTTAGGAAGATATAATAGAAGCTGAGGGACACCATTTTACTAGCCTAATTTTAATTTCATTGAACAGTTGAAGATTCAGAATATTCCTTTTTCACACATTACTGCAGAGAAAAAAGTGACAGAAAAAGATACCTCAAAATTATTAAATAAATCAAAAGATGAATTCAAAAAGATAGCAACAGGCTAGATTCTAATGATCAGGCTGAAATTAAAATTGATTCTACAAGTGAGATGTCTTCAGATGACAATGAATTTTCTCAGATTTTAAAATCAATGAATGAGTGAACAATACATTTCAAAGAAAAACATATTATTCTCAGTTACTTAGGCTTTCAGCATGGCAAGAACCTAAGGCATGCTATTTTACTAAAAGATCGTGTTGTAGCATCCTTTTCATCTAAAGATCTATGTGCTCAACGCTGTGGTTTTATGGACACAAAGGCTTAGACATATTGGCAAGAATCAGAAGGAAATAGACAATGTGTGGATGAGAAAACTGATTGAATTTTTTATTCTAGTTCATGTTCACAAACATAAAAATGAAAAATTTTTGCTATTATGGAATGAAGACGAAAACATTTTCTTTTCAAATGAAGTATCTATCATCACAGATTTCAATAAATCAACTGTTGCATTTAATGATCCATGTTCTAATACCATGCTGGAACCTATTAAATATGTGTTTCAAATCTGGAATTGGTTCAATGCAGACTCAGGACTGAGAGCTGCTGAGCAGTGAGTCCCTTTCTGAAGATGTTTCCTACTTAGAGTATACATATCTTTAAAATTGGGAATGTATAAAATAAGCACTTAATTTTTGTGTAAATTGTCATCAAAATATTCACTGTCCACATATTCTAAGATAATTTAATTCTTTTTTTTTAAATAATTAAGCTATCCAGGTGGTGAGTTGAAATCACTGTTTCTGGTGTACTAAGAGTAGTGTTTATATTTTCAGGGTCTCTATTGCACACTTACTGAGTTATTATTAGTTATACAGTTATTCAAGTCATGTCTTGTCTCTTGACTATCAGCTGGCTGAGGGAATTCAAAAAATACTTACTGATTAAACATTGTAACTCCCAAAGCTTTTGTTGTGTAAAATAATTAGATGTTTGGAATTAAAATGAGCATATTTTTTGGAAGGTTGCCTACCTTGGAGCAGGATTTTTGGGGAAAGTATAAAGAAAGGATGAATTTTACCTAGTCTTCTTTAATACAGCAAGTGAAATATATCAGATTAAACCATTAAATAACAGTGACTATACTGCTATTACATTTGACCTCTTCTCTGAAAGATTAAACCAAAAATATAGTAAAGTACCACTGAAGTTTAAGAAAAGGATCTTAATAAAGTGAGAGTACTAACTTAACTACTTGAGGATTTTCTAGCTATGGACTTGAAACCCACTGAATTGAAATACAGGCTGCCAAAGAATGCCCTATTATAGTCAGAGAAGATTTTGGTAGGTGAGTACCCTCAATTTTAGGAAAGTAAACAACACAGAAAGTAAAATAAATTACCTTGACATAAATTCTTGGCTCAAGTAAAAATCAGACAATTTCTGGGATTGTAATGGTGGGATAATTCCTAAGAAATGAACTTTAACTTATATTAAACTTTAATCCTTCTAGCTATGGAGATGAAAGCTAAAAAGAAAAAAAAAAGCTTTAAAATTCTAACCAAAAGCACACTTGCCCTAGTCCTTGTACTGATATTTAAATTGTTTTCTTCATCTACAGGGAATATAAAGAGGTCTGTGAGCCACGTGATTTCTTACTTTTAGAAATTCATCTCTTTAACTTGGATGATTCTGTTCAGAAATCCATTCAATTCATTAAGCCCAAGTAGAAATTGATGAAGAAGGAATATGAAACTGACAAGATCATGATGTTTCCTTAAGAGTTTAAACTAGTGGTACAAGTGTTGCTTGAGAATAATTTGCTTAGCCATGAAATATTGAAGAGGAAATTGGAATTATTAGGAAGGTCATATATAAATAAATCTAAAAGAATTTTACCTTGAACATCTCTACTATTGATTTTTAGAGAAAACAAAGCAAGCATCATGAATTGATTTGCAGTGTTGCAAATGATGTCTGTATTGACCAGTTTTAGTAGTTCTCTCATAAGAAAATAACAAGAAGATAGTCTTAATATTTAGAGGGAAAGTGACAGTTATTACCTTCAAGACAGACACCACAGGAACAGGATCTCTCTCTCTCTCTCTCTCTCTCTCTCTCTCTCTCTCTCTCTCTCTTTCTTTCTCCTGCCCCCTCCTCTTCCTTCCCTCCCTCCCCTCGAACAGCTATTCGAATATGTAACACTGACAATCTACAGAATCAAGGGATCTCATGGTGAGGTTGTTCTGATATTAAAGGGAAGATAAAGAAATTTTTTTTCGGCAGGGGGGAATCTTCAGTGTTCATCATATCTTTAAAAAAAAAAGTAGATATATGTCTATTCCAGCTGCTCATATGACCAGCCTTGATAGTATATGTTCACTTTCTAGATTTAAACAGACTTTATTCTTATTGCTCCAACTTAATATAAAGTGAGTCAGTAGAGGAGAAATTGAGATAGGGCAAATGATCTGATCCTACAGTTTACACTGGCATATTGTGATGGTATCTAAACTGAAGTAAGAATTATCTCCAATCAAAGTATATTGCACATTCACTATTCACTGTGGGGAGCCAGAGCACTTCAATTAATATAATGTACATGTTAACTAAAACTTTTAAGGATACCTTAGGAGTATTTTATTTCTTGGTACATAAAGTGAAACTAGGGACTTGATGTCACAGTATCAGCACCTGCACATGGCATCAACAAGGTTTTCCACTGTGAACTACAGTTTGGGCTCCGTTTGAGGGTGTGACAATATTCTCCAAGAGAATTACTGAATCCCAGAGGGAAAAGTCAAATTATAGTTTAAAAAACTCATTACCAATAATTAATAATGAACTCCAGCTAAACAATAACAGGTGTTCCACTAATCCCAAACAGAAACAGATGGAAGCACAAATGTTTTATAAATAGTGGATACATGCAGAGAAATAAACTTGGCAGGAATTATTTTATTCCTTAATTGTCAGTCAGAGTCAATGTCTTATCACATGTTTTCTCTAAATTAATATGCCCAGATTAAATCTGTGTTTCTCACTCCTTAGTTTTAAAACATTAGTACTTTATCATTCCATATTACATATTGCATCACTAACAAAGATAGTATTTTTAAACTTTCCTTTGGTACATTTACCAATAGTATGTAGTTTATTATACTTTATTTCTCCTTTCCCCTTCCTCCATCTTAGTGCTTGAACAAAAATTACTGGACTAAATATTCTTTTACTTCTTAAACCTTCAAAATAATGAATGTAAGTAGATGAGATACATTAGGGCAGTCAGAAAGTCAAGTAAATAGATGGTATTAAGAGATTTAATCCTATAAGAAAGAGGAATTATTTTTAGGACTTAGAGTATTATGTAGTGCTATAGATTTTGATCCTCTTGTGAATAAAACCTCAGGCCTTGTGCATGCTAGGCAAGTGCTATGCCACTGTGCTCTATCCTCAGCCCTGAATCTGATATATATATATATATATATATATATATATATATATATATATTGGAGGTTCACATAAACCTTAAGAAGAGCTCTCTCTGTGTGGTCATTAGCAAAATCTTCTTTACCTCATGCAGAGATGGTTTTATTATTCCTTCTGACCTTCAGCTTTTGTGAGGTATTCAGAAAGAATCCATTGGTATTGTAACTGTTGTACTGCCCCTGTCGCTTACTAACTTCCACAATGCAGGGTTCAGTGTGCTATGATTTGCTTAGATCAACATATTGTAGCTACTATAAACAATTTTTATGGCACAAATATTAATTTTAGTCAAATAATAAAACTTAAAAATAAAACATAAAGAAAACAATATATGTTAGTCATTTCTTAATTCCTACTTATCAAAAATACAGATTCATCTTATGTATAAGTCAATATTTGGTCCATCTTATAAAAGCAGAAATATCTGTGGAGTGTGACTTCCTTGAAATACCACCTCTGAACAAAATGGGCTGTGAATCTTTTACCTAAAGTGAATTTATGGTGCATATTGCCTGGGATGGTGCATATGGCCTGGGATCGTTCTTGCAGAGTGCTCACCCTGACATACTGTGGGGAAAAGAATGAATAAAAGATGAAAACAATTTGCTATGAATCGACTAGGTGCCTTGTCAACAATGCAAGGTTGTAACTGTGATCTTCATTTTAAATGTAAGCAACTTGAAGATGAGGTACTCAGTGATTGTCCTCAAGGTCCCATGACAGAAAAGACTGGAGTCAAGCACTGGACTTGTATGCCTCACATTCCCCTGAATCACCCTACCTTCCTCAGTGCTTCCACTTAATTTTACTTTGCTATTATACCATACCCAACTGATGACCATAATCAACTTCACCAAGTAAGATACCATCATTCTCAGGTTTATACCCTTCATTTCAGTTTTTAACACATTAAAAATGTAGAAAAAAAAATGAAGGAGGAAGTAAAAGAGGAAGAGGAGGAGGAAGAGAAGGATACCATCTGACAGAATAAGTTGTTCTTCTACTTTAGTTGTCCAGAGAAATAAGAGTCGTAGGATTTTCTTAATTCCTAGGGCCTACATGTATTATACATTTTTTTTTCAGATATGACATACCTGTTTTAAACATATGCCCAAGTTATAATTATACATTTTAGAAAGATTTTCTCATAAACACACAAGGACACAAAATGTGTTTGCTTTAAACAAACAGCTTCAGTTATTTTAATATAAATTATCTCCTTCTTTAACAATATCTTCTTAGAAATGTTTTCCCAAATATGAACATGTTTCACCAGTTTTTAATTTCTGCAAAAACCATAGTGCAAGCAATAAGTTGCTTATTCTTAATTATGGTATTAGTAAAGAATACCTCATTAAACTCTGGGCAAGAATTAAAGGTATGAGAGATTAATGTACATTGCTTTAACTAAAAGTTTTCTCCATTATGTTGACTATTAACTCCAGACTTGACTATCTCCATTAATATTTTTCTGGAATGTCCAAAGTTCATATGTGGGGAGAAAATCTCAAGTTTTTTTTTAGGGGATTTAATATTTGAACTGTGATGCATTTTAATATGAATTCTGTTCATTTCTAGGAAAAGAATGTTCACTTCTAAGAAAAGAATGATATTTTCATTGTCATACATTTTTTCTTCTGTTTACAAGGAATTTTAAAAAGATGATTCATTGCTTCACTCCAAGATATTATTAAAGATATTAGCATACTTCAATATGAAGATATTAGCATGTTTTTAGCTTTCAGCTGACTATATTTGCAATAGGCCATGCAGTGATTGAAAGTAAAATTAAAGGCCTTAATGCCACTTATTACTTTTGCTTTTTATTGGCTTTATTCTAGATCTACACATGCATTATGCATTTTTTAAAAAGGAAAATACAATTTAGTACATTAAAAAGCCAAAAATCTTAGAAACAAAGACTATTAAAACAGACAAGCACAAGAATTGTTTGGAATACCTGGTTTTAAGTCCCCATGGCCAAATATGTCAATCATATATCAACAGAATGCATACTGATCTGACAGAGTAGAAAGAAAAAAAATGAGAAAATGTCATCAAAATCCTTCTTTTTTCAATGGAGAAATGGTTTAACAAAACAAAATAGCACAATTCAATTTTGGTTACTACATATTTTCTGCGAAGAAATAATTTGTATTCATGGACATACAGGGGGAAAAGGCATAATGAACATAATGCTCCATTTAGTCATACAAAAAATACCTTAAATTTTGAAACAGAGATAATATTATAGTGGTTGTTTTTAAAAATGAAAGCCTTTTTCATCAAATTTGCTACAAAGTCATCACATTAAAGAACTCATTCTCATTTGTCCTTTTGTAGACTTAGGATGATGAAGCAGAAATTTTACAATAGAAAATTGGTTCCAATTTGGAATGTTTTACCAAATATTCTCTCCCAGATCCTAAATGAAGCTGCAGAATATTTTGTCAAAAAGGCCTGCAGTAGGGCGAACCCCTTTGAAACTCCTTTCCATGACAATGTTCTTTAATTAGAAGAAATCAAGAACAGACTAACAGTGCCAAATGATACCACTGTTAAGATAATTAATTGAGTAATTTTCATAAGACCATTTTATGATCTTGACTAGTCTATGACCTATGGAAGATCAAAAAACAGTAATTGGTGAACATTTGGGACAAACATCTTAAAATGATTTCAAGAGTGTTTTTTTTTTCTTTTCTCTCTAAACTATTTCATATTTTCACACAACTTTAAATTCTCCTAAGGTCATTCCAAGTTTCCATTGATGAAGATTCTCATTAGAATCTGAAAGTTTGACCAGAGATTCTCTAAATCTTGAATATTATGAAATGTATCTTCTATGCAATGATTTACATTTTAGTTTTCTTAGAATAGAGATCTTATTAATAGACCAAATCCAAAGGCAACTTTGGGACCAAGTAAGTTTATTGGCTTTATACAACATGACATATTTTTAAATGTTTCACATTATGCGTATCAAACATGAAACAACAAAATTTGTTATTCTATTAATATACATTGAAGGATTTTTTAAAATGTCAATCTTTAGAGTGTTAATATTTTTAATCAGTTTTATTATGAAACTCTCCCAGGTCTTTCAAAACGTAAATGCTATGTGGTAGATCTAAAATATAATCGTGTTCATTAATACCTAAATATGTTAAGCCAAAACTCATATAATTTCAAAATGTTGTATGTATTTTTATTGTTGAAATGAGAGCACATTTTCCCACAGGAGACTCAGGAGTGGGAAAAAGGCTAATTCTCAGATCAGTCCATGAATCTATCTACTCTTTGATGAAGCTGCAGTAACAAAAGTTTCAGATGCCAGGACCTGGGAACCTCATATGGAAAAAAAAAAAAAGTAAGGTTAAAGCAGATGGTAGCTTCTCTTTTCTGAACACAAGATTTTCTTGCTGAATGGGTAAGTCTGCACTAAGACAAGACCAAAAAAAAAAATGCATTTTCCTTTAATGGAAAATTAGAATTAGTTAAATGTGACATTGTCAGTCTTTCCCTTTTGTTTCACTAACTGAAGTGATTATGCCTTTAGATTTCTTTTAGAAGTAGTTCTCTGTTGGCAGTTTACTCATCAAAAAGACAAGGGAATTTCTTGTGGGACACGTCATTTCAAAACTTGTGCTGTGGGTCTGGACCCTAGGATGATGCATTTTTATCAAACTCCCCTGATGCATCTAATCAGATAGATCATATATGCAGAATCCCCAATCTAAAAGCATTCAATTGTGTTTTTACTCAGTGATCATTAATGACACTACAGCCTCCT